CATGCTGTAAAGGACAAAGCTGCTTAGAAAAAAATTAACTGTTTTAAATACAGTCGGACTGAAATGAAATCATAAGGTTTTAGGAACAAGAAGTTCTTATCAAAACCCATTACTTTTAGGGGCTGGAGATTTAACTCAGCTGCATAAGTGCCTGCCTTGCAAGCAGGCAGTCGTGAGTTCAATCCTCGGTACCGATAAAAAGGAAAAAGACAACAAAACAAAAAAAACAAAAAAAAAACCCCCATAACTTTCTAGATAATAAAACTGAAATACAGAGTAGGAATATGATTTTCCCTAGGCTACTTACCTATTTAATATTCATTTCAAAATGAGGAACTTTAGTTATTTATCTGTCAATTTTATTCATTTTTGAGACACTGAAGTCTGAAACTATCTTCTAGTCTCAATTTCCTTCTAATTAGTATTATAAGTGCACATTCCTATGACTTGCAGATAGGATATTTTTCCATTATTGGAGATTGAACTCAGGGTTCCTCTACCACTCAGATACAAGGTCAGCCCTTTTTTGATTTTTACTTTGACACAGAGTTTTGCTAAGTTTCTAAGTTGCCAAGCAGGGCTTGAACTTGTGATCTCTTGACTCAGGCTCCCAAATAGGTGAGATTACAGGCATGTACTACCATGCCCAGATTGACAAAAAGTTTTAAATTCAGTGTAGTTTCTCATTCTTTTTTTTTTTTTTTAATCAGTACCAGGGATCGAACTCACGAATGCCTGCTTGCAAGGCAGGCACTTATGCCGCTGAGCTAAATCCCCAGCCCCAGTTTCTCATTCTTAACAGCATAATCTTCTATTCTCAACACTGTTCTCCTTCCACACCCCTCATTGTTGTCTGAGTTTTTTACCTTTGTTATTCTTTTCTTATCTGTGTTTCTTACAATGGGGTTGGTTAGCTCAGTTTTTAGAATAATGAACATTTTTCTACAAAGAGCATCCTAACTGGTTCTTGATAAGTTTTCCTGAGACCTACCTCCTTTATAAGATGGAGTACACCTGGTCTACTTTTAGAATTTTAGAGTCCATCTAGATCTGCCCTAACATCCATTGTCATGAAAAATCCTGGCTCCTCAACTGACTTGGGTAATAGCAGAAATGTCCTGTGACTAAGACTCATGGGCTCTCATTAAGATAAAACTAAACAGATAATCAAGCCAATGGGAATCTATGCAATGTGTTATACTCATTTTATCAACTGCTCAAATATAATCTTAAACAAATGCAAGCTGAGAAAACATACCCAAAATATGAGATTTAAGGATTCTCATGCTGACAGACTTGTTTATTCAAGATTTAAGTAGAAGTTGTCTCTATCTTTAAGGGCATATAATTTAAAATTATATTTCTAACTGTGATATATTTCTCCTCTGTACTCCTGTTTACTGATGAGCCTAGGCTATTTTTTAAAGACAGGGTTTTGCGATGTAGCTCAAGCTAGTTTTGAACTCACTGTGTAGCCCAGACTGGCCTCAAACTTGCCACAATCCTTCTCCAGAACTCACAGGTTCTGGGATTACAGAAATGCACCACGATGCACAGCTAGTGTAGGCTTTTTAAAAAATTGTGCATTGTTTTGTTTTGCTGTGGTTGATTTCATCTTGCTTTCGCTACTGGAGATCAAACCCAAGGGCCTCAATTGTGCTAGGCAAATGATCTATCATAAAGCTGTATTCCACCCCTTAATTCCTGAAAAGTAAAGCTTGCATGATCTCTAGTGATTTGTCTGGCTCTTATGTCATAGAACTTTATCTTTCTTGCACAACAGCCACACAACACTTACCTATTGGTCTGTCTTCACACTCCCATTATGTTGGAATTTACATCCTTTAACTATGACTTGTGAATGGACCATGTACCCAAGCACATGATCCTGAATCCTCATTCTGTTAACTTAATTCTAGACAAAATTCAAGGGGAGTAATGCATCTGTAACACTTGTACGCTGCTGAACTGACTTCAACAGAAGATGCTTCCTCAGGGAAAACGTCAAATAGGGGTAGCATCCCAATCCCTGTTTTGAAATAAGAAACTGACTCCCTGAACTTCTAGAGAGATTTTCTGAGTCACTTTGATCCAGAAATACTAACCTGCATTTTATGATATTGATGCTGTATGTGATTCCATCATAACAGCTCTATTTACTCCTCACAGTCCTCCTCCGAGGCTGATGTGTTGTCTGCTATACACTCTCAAGGCCCGGAGAAATTAAGCAACTTTTCCAGTTCACATAGCGAGAGAGAGTGGAGCTGTGTAGCCTATACTCAGTAACTCAGCCTGCCTTTCATTATGGTACTTCATGTAATAATTACCTTTTAATTGTACAACATTGAGTTAACTATTATCAGGGATGAGTTAGTGAATGTATAGCAACCAGGTCTCTATGGGGCAGGAAATCTGAAAAATAGGGTTTGCATAAATATTCTCAGTTTTGAAAATAAGAGAAAATTCTCCACTCTCTACACATATGTGTTTATGAGGTTAAATTTTTTTATGTTACAAGGTTTTACATTTATCAAAGGTGGGAAAATAAGTATGCTCTGCACAGTAAGTGTGGACCAGTTAAATGCAAGAACAGGAGCAGGCTGTGTACAGCGAGAGCAGCCCTCTGTGAAAGAAAGAGTGCAGAGGCCAAAAGGTAAATGGTGGCTATCTTTTACGTCCCTCGTACCTCACACTGAGATTAGACTTAGATTATTCTACCCAAAGTCTACCTGATTTTGCACCAGAAGAACTGAAGCCAGCACTTGTGTCTTGGATCTCCATGACTAATGGATCAGGCCCCTACCAACTGCCCTGGAGAGGAGACTCCAGTCCCAACTTGTGCTTGTTCAATGGGAGAAAGCTTGGCAAATTTGTCAGGAGAGTCATGAGCTATAGTCTGGATCTTTATCTGAAGTCTTGAGTGGATAAATTTTAATGTTAGGTTGAGGATGCAAATTCAAATATAAAAAGTAGCAAGTCAAAATATTTTTAGTCTTTGTTAAAAGGTGGACTATGACAAATCTAGCAATTAGAGATTTCCACACTTTATATGGAGGAGAAATCATGGCAAAGAAGAATATTAGACAGACTATGAAGAGCCTGAGAGTCATGTCCCTAGCAAGAGTACCAACATTGTGGATCTAATTAAAAACAAAAGTCCCAATACAGTACCCATTTAAGGAGTGGTGAATTACAGGTTATTAGTGGCTCTATTTATTTACTCTTGAAGCAGTACTGGAGTCCTGCATTTTGAAGAGGAGCCTCAGGCCTTCCAAGGTTCACAGCAGTAACTTTCTTCTGCTGTGTGGTCTTTTTTACTCAGACAATTCAGATGGGGCTGGTTTTAACCTAGCTATCTATCTCTGCCATTTTTTTCTGCAGTCAGTATAGGAGGGAGCATGGCCCCTATCCATTTTGATTCTAATTGGTCTGCAGGAATCCCTTATATTCAAGTGTTAATGAGCACTAAGTCTCTAGAGCGGACACTAAATAGTCCTCCTGGACCAGGATCTGTCAAGATGTTGTCCCCATATAGATGGATAGCCTGCTGCACTTGACCTAGATTAATGAGATATTGTAAGAGTTTTGCCATCTCTGGGTCCACCACCATATGAGAGGATAGGAAACTCCTCCCGTATAACACCTCAAATACACTTATATTTAAGTCAGTTGGGGGGGGTGGTGATTCAAATCTTCATGAATGCTATTGGCAGTAATGTGAGACACGATTCAGAAGACTCTTAGATAATTATTGCCAGAGCTCACCTTAAGGTCTGGTTTCTCTCTCAAACTTTCTGGAATACTGAGTTCCCTAGGTAGAATGCAGATGGAGATGATACTTTATTCCTAAAGCCTTTCCCACCCTTTGTATTATTTGAGAGGATAAAAAAGGTTCTGTTGTTAGCATGAAAGGCCTGGGGTAATGAAAACCAGGGAATGACTTCTTTGAGGAGCACCTTGACTACCTCCACGGCCTTTTCTGAAACCAAAGAATGCCTGAATACAGGCTGTAAAAGTGTTCCTTAGAACCAGTGTATGTTTAAATCCTCCAGATGCTTGCATGTGGGTAAGTTCTAATTGCTAGTCCTCCCCAGGCTTAGTCCCTCTCCTAAACACAGGTTCTAACAAAGCTGGTGGTTTGGGCTTGCCAGCATTATTGTTGGTACAAAGTGGAAAAGCCTTGCAGACCTGTGGGGTGGTTGCCACAAGTTGTAGTCCTATAAAAATCTGAGTGAACATTTGCAATATAGCATGTCTTTTCAAGTGCAAAGTATCACGAAGGGGCACCGGGAGTGATAGTGCACCATATAGAGTCCCAGATCTTGGGGGGCTGAGGCAGGACAATTGCCATGAGTTCAAGGTCAGCCTCAGCCAAATAGTGAGTTGAAGGCCAGCCTGAATTACACAGTGAAACTCTGTCTAAAAACAAAACACAGTAAAACATGAAGGTTTTATTGAAGTGGTCCACTGTGTCCTTTGAAGAAGGACCAGTTTGTTTTCTAAATAATACTAATGTCCCTTTTGAATCCGTAAGGCTCATTTATCTTCCTAAGGAGTATAGACTGGGTTTTGGGGGGGGGGTTGTTTGGGGTGGGCAGAGGTAAGATTTATTGATGAGCTTGCTATGAGGGGGCAGGGCAGTGGAAGCCTTCAGGAGTACAAGGCCGCCACCACGATTCGGTATGTATTTCACCCCGAAGCCATCAGGAATGAGGTGCTTCTTGCCACCAGGTCTTCAAATCCATCTGCCTTGAACTTGGTGAAACCCCACTTCTTGGAGATGTGGATCTCCTGGTGCCCAGGAAACTTGAACTTTGGCCCTGTGCAGGGCCTCGATCACATACTCCTTGTTCTGCAGCTTGGTGCAGATAGACATGATGACCTGTCCAATGTGAACACTTGCCACTGTGCCCTGGGGCTTTCCAAAGGCACCTCAAATGCCAGTCTGGAGCCTGGATTGGGGGTGGTAGGTGGTCAGATATGTGAACATCCATCAGAAGCAGTGTATCCAAGATCCTTTGGGACAGCCCATACAAGCAACAAACTGAGTACACTACCAAGGAAGTTGCTATCTGCAGCCAGTGTACATTGGGCACCACCAGCAAAGGTGCCCAGTCAGCTTGACTGCAGTTATAGCCTGGTTTTTAATGGGTCCTCAGGAACTGGGAACAAGGTTAGGGTCTTGAGAGGTGGTATGCCTGCCATTAGCTTTTTGATTTCCCAAGGAGGCTTTAGAATTGTCTCCTTCGTGTACCTTGCAATGAATGCATGAGAGCAACTTGACTGGGAAGATACACTGCCTTCATTTTTACTAGTAAATCTCTTTTTATTAAGGGGGGTAGAACACCATGGGACAATTAAAAATTCAGGGTTAAACATTTGACCTTTGAATTAACATGTCAGAGCAGATGTTAAGAAGCTCTGACTTGGCGGGGGGGGGGGTGTCTCTCCAACCCTAATTATGGATATAGATCTAAAGCAGGCTTTTCCAGAGAAGGAAGTTAAAACAGAGTGAACCATTTTTGTATATATAAGGAATTGAATATGCTTGCCCATAACAACCAGGGTCCCTCAGGGTTTCTCACAAGTGATGGAGATAACCATAGACAGGGGCATTGCAGACTGCCCCAGGCCATTTTAGTCCTCTAAGGATTTTGGCTGATCTAGAACCTCAGGGAGTTGGGACAGTCATTATTCCAGTGACATGAGGCAGGCACACCAGCTCTCAACACATGGAGCTACCTGGGGAGTGAGTTAGCAGACTTACATGCCCAGTGTTCAGTTTTCTTCTATGTAAAGCAGAAACTCGTTCCATGATTGGTTTTGAGTTTTCTTTTGGACAATTAGGTTGTGCTTAAAGCACTGCCAATTCTGACAGCAATAATTTTGGTCACTTTTTTTAGCCCTTTTTCTTTTGCATTTATCTGGATCCCAACTGTTGAACATAAGAAAATCCATGTCCAGAATTTGGGTGGTGAGGATCTGGGGACCCATTTGAATATTTTATAATTCACTTCAAATATCTGGGACTGATTGACTAACACAGCGATAGCTCTTCAGTATCTGATCCTCTTTGGAAGCTGAATTTAGGTTTGTATATTTGTGGAAAGCGTCTATTAATTGGTTAAGAAAGATAGCTGTAGTTCCCTCTTTGCCCTGTGTAACCTCTCACCTTTCATAATTTCTTAATGTGTCTTTTAATTCCCATGATAAAAGCTGTTACTATTTTGACAAGAAACAGAGCCCAACATTATTCAGTATAAATGAAACACATTTAATCCCAAAAGAAATACACAGGTTTAAAACAAAAGGATAGAAAACAATATTCCATTTAACAGGAACCTGAAAACAAAACAGCAGAAGTAGCTATCCTAGTTTCAGACAAAGTATATTTCAAGCCAAAAGTGATTACAAGAAGCAAAGAAGGTCACTACATATTGGTTAAGGAAACAATTCAATAGGAAGAGACAATAATTATAAATATATATGCACCAAATTTTGGCAACCACGACTTTATAAAACAAATAATACTGGGCATAAAGAAATCTCATAAACACTAACACAATTACATTAGGAGAACTGAATACCCCATTGTTATAAATAGGCACATTAACTATACAAAAAAAAAAGAAAGAAAAAAGAAAATAAAGAAATATCAAGCAATTTTTGAACTTATAGACTTAATACAGTGTTCCACCCAAGAACAATAGCATACATTCTTCTTAGGAGCACTGGGACTTTCTTCAAAATATACCACATGCTAGCACACAAAGCATGTTTCAATAAATGCAAAAAAACTGAAATTATCCAATGTGTATATCAGGTCATAGTGCAATTAAACTAAAGGTCAATATCAAAAGAAACCACAGAAATTATACAAATGCACAGAAATTTAACAATACTTGTTCAAATCAACAATGGTCACAAAAAAAAACTCAGGAAAAAGCTAAAAGTTCCTATAATCAGAACAATATTGGCAGTACAACATAGCAGACCTTATGAGACACAATGAAAGGGGGCTGAAGGGGGAACTTTATAGCTGTGAATGCCCACATCAGAACAACAGAGGAAGTCCAAATAAATAACACGATTTTGTTTAATGAACATTGAGACAAAATCAACCAACAAAAACTGGAAAAAAAGTGTATCAAACAATAAAAATACATCATGACTAAGTAGGAATCATCTCCAGCATGCAAGGATGGTTCAACATAAACAAACCAAGAAATATAATACATAACATAAACAGAAGCAAACAAGTATCACGATTATTACAAATGTCTTAGAAAAAGCCTCTGAAAAAAATCCAATATCCATTTGTACAAAACTTCTGAAAAAAAGGCATAGAAGGACTGAATCTCAATGTGATAAAAACTATTTGTGACAAAACAGTGACTGACATCATATTAAATGGAGGAAGGGCCTGAAAACTTTCACTCTAAAATCAGAAACATGACAAGGGTGTCTGCTAACATCTCTAGCTTCACATAGTTCTCAAAACACTACCCAGGATATTCAGGAAAGAGAAAGAAACAAAAGGATTATGGATAGGAAAGGAAGAAATCAAATTGTCATTATTTGAAAATGATATGATCTTTTACATAGAAGATCCAAAAAATTCCTCCAAAATACTCCTAGAATTAATAACCAACTTCAGTATCACAGGAGCATAATGAAGTCAGCAAACAATAAGTAATTTCTGTACACCAAATAATAAACTCCTCCAGAAAGTAATTAAGGAAATAATATGTTTTACAATCACATTGAGATAAATGAAATACCTAGGAATTAACCTAACAAAAAAATGAAAGATCTCTATAATGCAAACTATAGAACTCTGAAACAGGAGATCTAAGAGGACATTAGATAATAGAAAGATATCCCCTGCTCTTGGACAGGCAGATCCAATACAGTCAAAATGGCAATAATTCCAAAACTGATAGATTTATTGCAAGCCCAATAGAAAATACCAATAGTATTCTTTTCAGAACTAGAGAAAACAATGCTAAAACTCACATGGAATCAGAAAAGATATCAACTAGCCAAAGAAATTCTGGGAAACTAGAAGACAGGAAGGAGTCCTAAGTTCCAGTTTCAAGTTATATTCCAAAAGTATGTGATAACACAGCATGATACTGACAAAGCACATACGTGCATCAGTGGAACAGAACAGGTGATGTAGAAAAACCCCAGACACACTGAGCTGCCAGATCCTTGACAAAGGGGACAAAATCTAGGCTAGAGGAAAGGTAACCTCTTCGTTTTTCAAATTGTTAAAAATTGATTGCATTGGGGCTGGGAATATAGCTCTGTGGCACAGCACCTGCCTGGCAAGTATGAGGTCATTAGTTCATTCCCTAGTACCAAAAAAATAATTGTATTGACATTCTTTTGATACACATAATTATGACATTTATAATAGGGGATTTATGCTTTTATGTATCTTGGTTCTTCCTTCTTTTAAAAAGCTTTGTTTCCATTTTTCTCCTATTCTCTTTTTCTCCTTTTCCCTTTCTTCCCTTTTCCCTCCTCATCTCTCTTGTCCCCCTTCCTGTTTGAACACTTTTTACTTAGTTTCCAGTATCTATCATCCATTTGTAGCCCAGCGTGGCCTCAGCCTTGAGGTGATTCTTCCTGGCACAGCCCCTTGAGTCCTGGGATCATAGGGGTGCAATGCCATGCCCGCTTCCATGGATCATTTATTTAAAAGGCTATCTTCTCTTTAGTACAATTGAAGTGGAGTAAAGGCCTCAACACTAAAACAGAAAAACGTAATCTACTGGAATATTAAATATGAAACCTCCTGAAGACATAAGCATAAGCAAAGACTTTGTGAATAAAAATACTCATGAACAAATATTTCATACTGGAAATGCTTCAAAGAATCAACAGCTGGGATCTCATCAAATTAAAAAGTTTTTACACAGCAAAAGAAACCATCAACAGAGTGAGGAAACAACCCACAGAATGGTAAAAAGTTTTTTAAATCAGATTTTATTGGTATGTTTTAGGTATACATAATAATCACATTTTGGCAAAAAATTTTACCAGGTACTGCTCAAAGAACCAATGTCTAGAATATATAAAGAACTCAAATAAATCAGATACTACAGATTTAAAAACCCAATCCAAAAATAGGATTCTGAAATGAACGACACTTCTCAAATGAAGAAGTATGAACAGCACACAAATGTATAAAAAAGTGTTTCACATCACTAGTCATTCAAGAGATGCCTGAATTCAAGGCCAGCCTGAACTAAATAGAGAGATCTGGTCTCAAAAAAACAAAAATAGGGGCTGGGGGTTTAGCTCAGCGGCATAAGCACCTGCCTTGAAAGCAGGCAGTTGTGAGTTCGATCCCCGGTACCGATAAAAAGGAAAAAGACAAAAAAAAAAAAAAACAAATATAAATGTATATCCTTGGAAAACTGGCTATCCAAATGTACAAGGTTGAATCTAGACTCATATCTCTCACCATGTTGTAAACTAAAATCAAAATGGACCAAAGATCTAAATATCAAAATAGAAACACCTACCCTAGTGGAAGATAAAATAGCTACAACTCTTGAAGAAACAAATGCAGGCAGGACTTTCTGAAAGAGACCCACTTCATAAAAGATAATGCCAAGAACCAACAAATGGAATCATATCAAGTTAAAATGGAGGGGCTGGGGATTTAGCTCAGCAGCATAAGCGCCTGTCTTGCAAGCAGGCAGTCGTGAGTTCGATCTCTGGTACCGATAAAAAGGAAAAAGACAAGACAAAAAAAAAAGTTAAAATGGTTCTGTACGGCAAAGGAAATAACCAACAGTGTGAAGATACAACCTACAGAATGGAAAACAATTGCCAGTGATGATTCCTTGGACAGAATATATCTAAAATATGTAAAGAAGTAAAAAAAAATTAGACCATCAAAATAAAAGACCTAATCAAAAAATGAGCAAAATAAACAGACATTTCTGAGAAAAGAAATACAAGTAGCCAGTAAATGTAGTGGTATCTTGGTTCATGAACTTCATTCTACGGTTTTGGAAAAGATGGCCACATTGTGGGAAAGATGGCCGCTGCAGTCACATTTATCATCTGCTGCAGAGTCTGCAAACAAAAACAAAATTTTGCCAAACACTTGTAAGTGTGAACCAAATTGTTTGCAAACTAAAAGTACTTGTGAACAAAGATAGTACTGTACATGAAAAATATTCTAGAGACTAGATGTCTGGAGTCAAAGTCTCACGGGGCCAGGCTTTCTATGAAGGCTGTAGGGGAGAAGTTTTCTAGTGCAGCAATCCTTGGTGTGGCCTGAGCTACAGCTGCTACACTTTCTCTCTGCTTTGCTTGTCACATGACCTTTCCATTTTGGTAACTGTGTCTGTCCTCTTTTTGAAAGGACACCAGCTATAGTGCATTGAATGTCCACCCCATTTAAGTATGATCTTAACTAATAATATCTATGATGACCCTAATTACAAAATGTTCAGTGTTTTCCGGGATGGCAGTGCTGAAATGGATCGTAGGGCCGTGTGCATGCCAGGCAAGTGCTCCAGCACTGAAAAATATCCATATCCCAAACTAAGTCATATTCTGAAGTATTGGGGAACAGGAATATTATGGTTTGTATCTAGATGTCCCCCCATAGCCTCATGCGGTCCTTAGGTGAGGTTTTTGGGAGGCGGCTGTATCTAGGATGTGTGATGCTACAAGCAAGGATGTGCTGCTAATATTAGGGGGGTGCGCACTACCCACCCTAAGTTAGGTAGCCTGGGAAAGATATAAGGGATGGAAAGATATATATTATTGGGCTTTGAGGACACATGCCTCCTCCTCCTCCTCCTCCCCTCCCCTCCTTCTCTTCTTTCTTCTTCTTCTTCTTCTTCTTCTTCTTCTTCTTCTTCTTCTTCTTCTTCTTCTTCTTCTTCTTCTTCTTCTTCTTCTTCTTCTTCTTCTTCTTCTTTTTCTTCTTCTTCTTTTTCTTCTTCTTCTTCTTCCTTCTTCTTCTCCTTCTCCTTCTCCTTCTTCTCCTTCTTCTCCTTCTCCTCCTTCTCCTCCTCCTCCTCCTCCTCCTCCTTCTTCTTCTTCTTCTTTCTCCTCCTCCTCTTCTTCTTCCTCTTCTTTTTCTTGTTCTTGGCTACTCTCTAAAACATTGGACAGAGATCTATAGTCTATGCTGAATTCCTCCGAGTCTTAAGTCTTCCTACAGTACATTGTCAATGAACACTTCTAAAAAACGGAATGAACTAATAAGTGAACGAACGAATATTCAAAGTAATGAGCCAATGGGAACGAGTAGGTAGAAGCCATACAGGGAGTCCACCGCAGAAGGCTGGTATAGTGCATTGAGATCTCGTCCCACCAGGTGGCGCTGCAGGGGGCGGGTCTGATTAGATAGGCGCGCCGAGCCGCTCTTGCCGTGCGCGTTGGCGGCGGCGCCGAAGACAGGCGTGTGGGTGAGGGCCAGTCATATGACTCGCTCGGCTTCCTGGCTCCGGCCGCCGCCGCCCGCCTGTGTCTACCCGTTTCGCTCCGGGGCTCTAAGGAGCCGTTAAGGAGTCCAGGCCGAGGCTCGGTGCTGTGGAAGTCGTCGTCATCGCCGTTCTCCCGCCCTCCCGTCTGTCCTCTGCAGGCCGTCACCATGCTGGCGCTCATCTCCCGCCTGCTGGACTGGTTCCGCTCGCTCTTCTGGAAGGAGGAGATGGAGCTCACGCTCGTGGGGCTGCAGTACTCGGGCAAGACCACCTTCGTCAATGTCATCGCGGTGAGCACCCGCCATCTCCCCGCCTCGGTTTCGCAGCCAACGAACCGGCGGGGCGTCTCGCTCAAGGCCGGACTCAGGCCCTGGCGCTCGGCGCTGCGGGCCCGCGGCGGGTGAGGGGGCTTCCGAGCCGCGCCTGTCACTTCCCGGGGGCCAGCAGCTGGAGATTTCCCGCGTGCTGGCGGCGGAGGTTGTGGCTCGGAGATCCTCTGCTGAAGGCTTAATTTCATTTAGCCTTGAATGTGCGGTGCCTTTCGGCGGATGCTGAGAAAGCGTAAAGTTGAGCTTGTCACATTTTCAAAGTGTGTGTATGAGCAGGTATTGTGGTTTCCCTCCTTCATGGTGTGTGGGGTAAACAGTTAAACTCTAGTCTGTCACTTTCTCAAAGAGTGGGATTTTTTGGCGAGTCCGACCTTCCTGAGAAAGCAAAAGAATGAAGAACCTCTTACAAGTTGCCACTCAGGACGAAGAGCCTCACTGTAAAAGGGGAGACCGGTGTAGTCGCTTTCCTGAATGCTGTGGGCCGCTCGACCCTTCTGATTTATTCGTTTTCTCTTGTCCTGGGATCGAAGATCAAGCTGATTGCAGAACCCACTGATCGACGCTAAGGAGGGACAGACTTCCATCTAGGCCACACTTATGTGTTTATTAAGTCGAGGACAAGGTCTTTGATCTTGCACAGCTCATTGTTTTAAGCGAGTTGTTAAGATGGATCTGTAGTAAGCATGAAGTTTTATCTTGCAAAAGAGTGGTTAGGCATTTTTACTTGAAGAGAAGGCAAGGACTAGGCGTGAACGGGTTTTACTTTAAGCGGGCTCAGGTTTCTGGGAGGAAAATGCGTGAGGATCTATAAATGTGTTTATTCAGCATTGATTGAATAGAAGAATGGTTACTCAGTTTCTCTTTTTGGTTGGAGAAGATTAGGAGTGAAAGATTTCAGTCCTGACTTAGACTCCAAAAGTTGCTCTATTTGAGGATAGTTTGTGCTTGCCAGGGGAGGAGGCTTAGGACTGTTCTAAAGAGAGATGGCAGCATTTCTTCCTGTTGAAATCCTTATTCAGCAGGCTGTTTGACTGGTTTGGTTTCATGAATGATTCAAACACGGATGCCTTGTTGGAGAAAATAGATAGCTTGTGACTCTTAGTCCTTGCTGTAGTAGAGCAACAAGGGTGAGTAAGACTTGGAGAAAAGGAAATTAGCAGAAATCCAAAGCTTCGTGAAGACTGTTAAGAAAAATACCTAGTTATGTGGCTTCTTTTGGAATAGCTTTTTTCTTGGAATGATTATCTTTTGAACAGTCTTTGAAGAGTGTCTAATAGTGCCACTATAATAAGGGAAAACAAACATTAGGGAATGTACTCATGGTACAGTTTTTTTTTACGATATGGAAGCCTAGCATGGTTGCCTGTGCCTCTAATTCTAGCACTCAGAAAGTTAAGGCAAGATGATTGCTGAGAGTTTGAGGCCAGCCTGGGCTACATAGTGAGTTCAAGGCCAAGCTGAACCACACAGAACTTGTCTCAAACAAAAATAACAAAAAACTCTCACTTTTATATAATATGATGGAATAAATTTAGCCCGAGTGGAATAAATTTTATGATAGTCCTTTGAGATAAGAATTGGACTTGATAAGTCCTAATCCTTTGAGAAGTTTGAATTAATTTACAATATAGGTAAATGTGTTACTGCAGTCAATTATATTCGTTGCACAAAAGTAGTTATGTGTGGAAAACCTAAAAACGTTGAGTAAAGTTTTGAGAAACTTTGTTGACTTGAATGGGTATTGTAGCTTAATATAGGCATGGACTTTGGTATCAACTCTCTGGATTTGGAATCTGCATTAGCGACTTACCAGCCTTGCATCCTCTTTGAGTCCTTTGCTTTCTCATTTGTTAAATGCAGATGATAATGTTTCTTATAGAGTTGCTCTTAAGTGGATGAAAAACGTTAAGTGGCTAGCACCATGCCTGCCCGGAGGAAGAGTTTAGCAGAAACTTTTATACTGGGACTATTCTATCTAGCAGAAACACTGAAGAGTAGTGACAAGACACTCATGAGGATATATTCAAATGTAGACTATAGTGGTGGGTTTATGGCTTATGTAAAATATTCACCTTTTGTTTCCCAAGTTTTGCGCTAGATAGTTATATCAGGAAAACTGCAAAGCTGTTCAATTCACTGTGACCTTGGCTCCACTATTAATATTAGACTGTTCTTTTTGAATTATAATGGTATGGATAGGTTCTGGATTTGGTAGGGGCTATCTTATCTTTATCTTATCTTTTGAACCAGGGTCTCACTTTGTAGTTCAGGCAGGCCTTGAACCAACCTCAGCCTCCTAAGTGCTGGGATTACAGGTGTGGCCACCATGCTGGGTTTTTTTGTGTGTGTTTTTGTTTTCTTTTGTAATACAAGAGATTGAGTCCAGGGCCTTTGCCCTGAGCCACATCTCCCAGTCCTTTCCTGTTTTTCATTTTGAGACAATGTCTCACTGAGGTCATCCAGCCTTGGTGCCCCAGAGTTGTGAGATTTCAGGCTTTGACCACTACACCTTGGTGGTAGGTTGTGTTAAGAGAAATAAATCTGTCACCACAAAAAATAAGTGAGGATTAGTGAACTTAATCATCCAGATTGTACACATGAATCAGAACATCACAGTATACCCCATAAATTTATGTAATTATGATTTACCAATCAAAAACAATAATTTAAGTAAGAAAAAGCTGGACTATACTTGGTGTGCTATACTTGGTGGTTACTGAAGGTGGTAACTTGGTAATTTTTGTGAGAGCTGAATATTGAGAAAATATTAAGAGAAAGAAATACACACACATACAATACACACACCACACACACACACACACACACACACACACACACACACACATATACACACAGAAACACAGATACAGAATTCCTTTTCTTGGGATTTTTATAGAGCAAAACCACAACGGGAGGTGGGTCTAAGCTGGGAAAAAATGGAAAATCACAAGTTGAGCATGAGGTGATACAAACTATGGTCAGCTAAGATTATAAATATAATTGCTCAAGTAAAATTGATTAAGCGGGGATCAAATGGGGAAGCAATTCAATTAGCAAGCCTGAACATGAATACAGAACATAGCCCTTCTCTAGGGCTTTGGGTTAGTGGCTCCTTCTGGCTTGCTCAAGGTGATCTGATACCTATTTAGAATATCATTCCCTGATGTTTATCCTTAAGGTGTGGGTGCATTTGTTTTATCTTTTGTCTGGAGGTCTGTTCCAAAATGGAAGGTGTTTGTCTCCCCCATAGTTGCCAGGTATCTGGTCTTCAGCACTGGCTCCTTGGAGGACCTTGCCCTATCTGACTGCCTATAATATTACTTGATAAATTTCAACCTTTTATTTAAAACTTCAGCTGGGCATGGTGGCCCATGCCTGTAATTCCAGCACTTGGGAGGCTGAGGCAGGAGGATCACCACTGAGTTCAAGGCCAGTTTGGGTTACTTAGCAAGATCTTGCCTCACAAATAAACAAACTTCAGACTGTAGATTAATCAGTGAGTCTTACAGAATATATTGAAGGTGAAGGAATAGATAATGATCAAAGGATTAAAATGAGAGATTTTTAGATAGAAATAGTCATCTAAAGTAGTAAAATTGACAGTAATCTTTTTAAAAAGCCAAATACACAATTCTTTGTATTTTGTAAGAAATGTTGTAGAATCAGTTTTCAGTACTTTGTGTCAGTAAATTGGTCATTTAGATTAAAGTTCCCAGATAAAAAATGAAAAAATTTTTTTGTAAAATTTAACTTTTTGTATATAAATCAAAAGAATTGGATAATTAAATATATTCGACAAATGTAAATGTCAGTACATTTACCTTAATACATTCCTGCTGGCTTGAACCACTGGTGGTACATGCATGAGTCTCTCATCAGGCAGTTTATACCACAAGTGGTTACTAACACATCTCAACACTTTTATTGGTCTGCTTACTAATAAAATTAATGAAAGCTGCCTGATGGGACAGTCACCGCTGTACCATGGGTGACTCAAGTAGCCCAGCAGCGAGATGCACAAATTATTGCCTTGTTACAAATATGTTAAGAGGGATTTAATAAATGTCATTTATCTTGACCAAAAGTTTGTGATGCCAAATTATTTACATGGGTAGGGTTTGGTACACTTCCACATTAGTCTATTTAATTACAGAGATATTCAGTATTAAAAGATTTACTGAAGTGATGCCTCATTTTTTTCTGTTTTATATGGAGCCATTTGATACAGAGTATTTTACTTTGAATGTTACAAAAATAAAAGCATTCCTTTTGGAACACCCCAGTAGTAAGGTGGTGCACTAATGTAATCCCAGGGCTGAGACCCAGGCAGGAGTATTTAAAGTTCCAACTCAGCCTGGGTAATTTAGCACCTTAGTGAGACCTTGTCTCAAAATACAGAAATATGAGGCTGGGGATGTAGTTCAGTACAAAGGCTTTGAGTTCTATCTGTACCACCACCACCACCAAGAAAACCTCTAGAGCTTAGTTTTCTGATTACTTTCAGAATGAAGCACATCCTTTGCTAAATATTCTGCAGTTATTGCATAATAAGTCATGTGGCCTGTGTGTGTAAAGTATGTTTAGTAACCTTTTAGTGGGATGCTTAGTTATACTGTGTAGTGACTAAGAACTGTTTAATTTGTGAAAATACTATAAGTAAACATGATAGGTTTTTCTTTTTTTTCCAGACAAGTTGTCATTATGTAGTCCTGGGTAGCCTTGTACAGTTTTATGTAGCCCAAGCTAGTGTTGAGCTCATGATCTACCTGCTTCAGCCTCCCAAGTGCTGGAATTATAGAAATGTGCCACAGAAGCTGACCATATTATGTATTTTTAAAGTGGATAGTGTTGTGACAATTTGTCTACACTTTCAGATTGTTTCTGACTAGAAAAGTTAATAATGGAAATGCTTATTACACGGAGATTTCCAAAGAAAGCCTTTGAAACACTGTAGAAATCTG